CACCCGCTTCAGGCTGATTATCTCTTCCACTGAGCCCCAACTGCATTTTTTTCCAGCTCTGTCTGAAGAGCATGCAGAGCCAATAAAAGGAAGCTAAATGACATGCAAATGAAAAAAATATATATTACTTTTGTTTTTCAATTAAGAAAAGCCAACTCCCAAACAATGCTAGGGTTTCTCTGGCTCTGAGGCGCGTGCAATCGCCCTAAATGGGCAAAAAAGCAAGTTGACTCTTTCTCAGCAACAATGGTTCAGCTTTTGGGTCTGGGTCTCCCAGAGCTGGAGCCAACTGGTGGATAATATTGGGGAAGATCTCCAAGTAACTCCCCCTGCCTCAATCCCTGAGTAAATGCAGTTTTTCCATTGCCTTTCTTCAGCTTTCTGGTTCTACATACCTAAGTTAACATTGAAAACTAACTTGCATACCAAACCCCTTTATTAAAACAACAAAGCGACATCCTGTCTCAACTCTTAATGCTTGGCCCCAAAATGACATTTGCTGGCAGATGGATGAAAATGCAGCAGAAATACGTCTGGCTGGGATTGCTGCTCAGCCAAAATAGATGCATGAAAGACCCTCCATGGATGTGACCCTTTGTCATTGCCTGTCCAGTCTTGCCTTTTGGTGGGTTGCTGTTGTCTGGCTGCCCCCATTATGGTCACAGGACTTGGTAGGCCAGCTCTTGTCTTCTGACACTTGGGAGAGTGCAGGTATATCTCATTTTGTACTGATCTTTGGCCAACTTGATCTGTAAGTTTGGCGTTTTCATTTTCCCAGCGGGAGCTTTGGCTGGAAGGGCTAGGAGCAAAGTTTTTGAGATGAACAGAACTGAACCAGATCAAATGGTGGCATTGTACAGCTTGCCTTTTTTTAATGTTCAGTGTCTTAAGATGTACAACATTCATCTCTTTAATGTAGGCATGAAACTGTTGGTTGCAGGAGGGAAGAGATGGTTTGAACTGTAAAGAACAAACAGGCAATATTGTCTTAAGCTCTGGTGGTCAGAAACTATAAAATTCCTTTATGGACATCCAGAGAAAGGCTTGCAAGACTGAAAACATGTCTGTTTTTACCAACTCTATCAGTTGGTCTAAAATGATACCACCTGCTTGCTTTGCTTAGAATGTATAAAGTATTTTATAGAAACTGGAGGAAAATGTTTTTACAATTCCCATTTGCATGCCAGAGGAGAAGGGAATAAAATAAAACTAAAAAGCTGAGAGTCTAGTGGTGCTCATTTGAGCCCCCTGTTTGGAGGACTAAAACCCCCTTTGCTTAGGCTGGCATCCTGCTTTGCTGCTTTAATGGTGAAACGCGCTTCAGAGAGCATTATTGAGGAAAAGGAAACTGAAAGCTGTGCTGAAAAGCTAGTAGGTGAAATTGGGAGTTGCCTGATCTATTTTGTCTTTTAAAAGGACAAGTTCTGAACCTAGCTACGTGAAAATTGAGTGAGATGTGAAAGCTTGACAGTCATACATACAGGAAACCTTGAATCATTTCGAAGCTTCCTGGAAAATGACGTAGTAAGGTTATCGTTGTGTTTACTAATGATGATTCCGTAGTTCTTACTGATCGGCTTAAAAAAATGTCTTAACTACCAGCATCTCAATCTTGGATTGCAAATGGACTCAACTGGGTTCATTCGAAATGCTTGCTGGCATCCCCTGACAATAATAATTAATAATCAAGCACAGGGAATGGAGCATGGCCATCCAAAGGGTCTGTTTTCTTTATCACGGGGAAAAAGGTTTGCTTTGTACTGTGAATATTTTTGTAAATTCCTGGCAGAGCCTGACAAACTTAAAAACTCTCATAGTCCCCAAGCCACGTAAAATTTTCTCCTTTAAATAGAGCATTGGTATGTCTTTAGGACAGAGTTTGTCTTTTTTCAGGGGGAGGAGGTAGTAGGAAGATGGAAAGCTGCTAGCTCTCCTCCTAAC